AGATGACGAGATTTGATGATACACGGTACGTGGGACAGAGGGTGGGGTTGAGTGGATGGATGGAGAAGCTGATTCATGTTCCACATATTATCAATGAGAATCGAAGGCATGATAGTGTGAATGGAAATTGGCTGTGGAATACAAGACGAGCACTTCGGCTGAGTGTAGATGTCACAAGGAATCTGTAGGAATAATCGATGAGTTAAAAAGCGGTGTTATAACAGAGTGTGTGCTCATTCCGATATATGTATATATATATATATATATATATATATATACCTGTTATGCATAAATATATGTGTATAAAGAATGGAGAAGTCACACGTGATGCGGAAACGACGATCATTTTTAATCAGTGACCCAACGTCCACAGAAGATCAGTGGATTCGGGCCCTTCGGGTCCAGGACGATTTAGTGTGCTTACTGTCATACGCAATGTGCCATCCTCCTCACCGTAGTCATCCTCGTCATCCGAACGTCGACTACAATCTGTTAATGTGGGCACGGCGGAATTGGCTCGATTGAATCGGGCCACATCAGTATCAAAGAACGATTCAGACATTGGACCCAAAGTGCCTGTTTCCGTACCAACTTGGATTAGGAGGTCCGAAGCCTCGGTATCGGTATCATCAGCGGCAGCCATTTCCGATATGGTGGATGTGCAATCCTGAGATAGGATAGATTGTCTACTGCAGGAATATATAGATAATGGTGGTGAGGAAGCAAAAGTGGACTAATTGGTTTGACTTTCTTCACTGTGCTCAAAGGTGGGGATCAGCATTGTACAAGAATTTCACAGATGATATCCCGTTAAGTGAACAGCCTAAAAGATCCACAACAAAAGTGCAAAGTAATAAGTAAAGGAACACTAGCTTATGTAAACTACAACTGTTATACACGTCCCTGAAAATAAGATATATTCCTTTTGGAAAAAAGTTTTGTAAAGAAACACACAAAATACCACAATGTTGCACAATTTATAACCCCGATGATTTGATACGGATAAATACAACCGCTCGAACCCGCCCTCTACGAGGGCTTACACAAACATTGAAAATACAGCAAAACCATGTTCCCAATTGCCAAGGTTCTTGAAATGTCAATTCCTGATCCCGGATTCACGAGGTTTAGCGTGGATCCGGATTCACGAACATGGATCAACCGCAGATACAAAAACGTGGCAATGAGTCTATCCCAAACTGAGTGCATTGTCACCAGACGTAATCGCGGTCAAATTTGACACGTTCATAGAGCTTCATGAATCGCGAGCAGTTTGCCACTAAGGTTACGTAATAACGTTATTGATAGAGGAAGCGTGATCAACTACGTGCTCTGCGCACATCTGGTGTTTTGCAATTGACCCAGCCGAAATTCTCGAATCAGCAGACTCTCGGGTGTGTGTTGTTGCATCATCGACCATTTTCAGGTTGTTCGCTGTTTTGGGCCGTACGTTTTCCGCCCATACGTGTGTGTAATCATAACTCCAAGTGAAAAAAGAGGAACATACTGTGTGCGCGAACAGAACTAGCTTGACAACCCTGTGCACGTCTGCCTTGTTATTCTGAGTCGAGTCGCGGAATATATGCGGCCTATCAAGGTAACACCGCGTTTTATTGTACCTTCATACTGCTTGGAAGCAGATCTGGAATCGACAAGATCTCAGGAGTGGGTTCTCTGACATGCATTTTACAGGATAACAATTGCTACTACATACGTTATTCTTCAAAAGAGGATCTATCACCTTTCTTTTAAATCAGTATTTTCTTGGGGCTCGTATTCTAACTTATCCGAAAAACAGTGCGACTAATATATAAACAGCCACAACTTTCTCTATCATCATCTATCTACACTGCCCTATGCACCAATTTTGCAGTCATTCCCCAGACTCTCGAGATGAGCTGAACTTTAAGAAACACGTGTCTCCTGTGACGTATGTGAAATCAGGTGGATGGGTTCTGCGGGTATTCGCCGCGACGACGACCAAGGTAGACAAGATCGGTCGTTTGATTTGAGCATACACCAGAGTCCACCGTTGTTTTTAATGCGATCCGCATAGCTTCCTTGATTTGTTTCCAGTGCTCATTGAGTCCTTCGATTGGCGGTTGATCGGAGACCTGCGCTTCGAAGGCCCGTTTGTAACTAACGCTAACATTGTTTTGTGAGTATCCGATGCTGGTGGCTCGACCTTTCAGGAGGCAGGATTAAAGATAGACTGTCGGTGTTTCAACACCGCTGTCTACGCAGGATTGCACGAATCTGGTGGGGCAGTCGGACGAGCAATGCTGAGGTTAGACGCAGAGTTTTGGGTAACCGCAATCACCCGCTGGAGCAACTAACCGACTTCCATAGATCACGTTGGTTAGGGCATATGTTGCGAGTGTCATCACATAGAGCTATGTTTTTGGAGGCAGCTAGCGGACGGAAAGATATCAAAGGT